GTCTTTGACTATTTTGAGGGGTTGCTGCTCGCATAGAGCGTTGGCGTCAGGAGGTGGCTTCCGCAGTCCCTCTGGTCGTCCTCGAAGATTTGCCTTGGGTAGGAACAGCTGCTCCGCCTTTTGTTCCTTCTGTGGAATCGGAGTTCGCGCCTGAATCCGTGGGCGAGATTCACGAGTCAGCCGCCATGGGATCTGAGTTCGCACGTGAATTTGACGACGAGATCAACAAGGTGAACGAGGTGAACGCGAGTAACGAGCAAGCAGCAGCGTACCTCGCCGGTGTCAACGAGGAAATCGATCACGCCGCCCGTCATCCTCGCTCTTGTCGGTCCCCCGACATCTGGGACGTTTACGACCTCAGCCCTCCCTCCTCAAGTCGCTCCACCTATTCCTACCGTCCTCCATCGCCAACCCTCAGCTGGGAGGTCGAGCGTGCGCTCTCTTGCGAGGGTGATGCATACAGGCAAGCGGCGGCTGAGCATGACGTCGCTGAGGCGACAATTTATCAAGCTGGAATCGACGAGAGTGTTGAGAACGCGGTGCTGACGTGGGATCCGTCGCAGATGGATAAGAAAATGTAATTGTAATATGTCATAACAATGCACGCGAGTTTGCTCCGCAAGGAAAAGTCCTTTAAAATTTAAGTCATATGCCACTTGGTCAATGAGAATCTTGTTATCGTTGAATAATTCAATCGGTAGACAGTTCGCGCGCCCCGCGTGTACATGGTGGTCACTGGCAGTCGGCCATCGGGCAGAGCGACGAGCTTCTTCTGCATATCATTGCGGTCGCCGCTGGCACTCGTCTGATCTACAAGCGCTATGATTTCCAAATGCAATGTCCTCTGGTGCGCATATTGCAGACATTTACTTTGTCGTACAGCCTAAACATCATCCGCACCAACAACATCTTGATTTGCGGTCACCACTGGCGGCTACCCACGTTGACTGCATGTTTAGTCACCAACCGTAACTTTTACCGTTCATCTCACTGGGGTCGCCCCTGGCGGCCATCTGCGTGCAGCAACAACAAACATCCCTTGCTCCTCGGGCTGCGTGATCACCAGTGGCGGCCGTATGCTTTCTCTCGGTGCTTACTTGCCGTCACTCAATTTATTCAATGCCCGTGCAGATGTCCGGAAGAGGTAATCAGTTTCCCGGGCACGAGGCGGTCGCCGCTGGCGGGTGTCTTACCGTAGTGCACCACAAAACCACCTGACACACTTGCTTATGGTAATTATGCTACAATCCCGTGATCGATATCCGTGCTAGCCTGTAAAGGGCAAAACGCGGATGCAATAACTGGCTCTAACGCAGTTTATCAGCGGCGACTGGTATCGAGCGTCAATCAGCCGTCGCCACCCCTAGTGGAGCCCACAATGCCTCGACTGCATGGAAATGTATTGAGTCTTGCAGCATGCGTGCACTGCTGACATCGGCAATCACAGAGCGTGTACAAAATCTCTCTACTACCGGTGCATGTGTGCCGGTTTGACATGTAGTCGCCACTGGCGGGCAAATCATGTGTGGATTCTGGGCTCGCGAACGCTTGCGGCTATGTTCCACCATCAACATTACTATCGCCGGATTCCACCTCCTTACAAATGAGCGGGCGAATGTCAGCCTCGTGGCCCTGATCTAACAAGGTATGCTGGTTCTAGTGCGATTGTATGAGCGCAATGCGCTCGCCACAAGTGAAATCATGCTGAATTCCATTATCTGCCATCAGCCATCTAGTGTATAAAAGTCTGTCACCCACTTTCAAATTTTGCAGCCGCTACATCCACCAAGATGCCTATCACCCCACTTACACAATTCGCAGGCAAGTTGACTACGTCGCGCTAGCATCAGCAGCCGTCTTAACTAATATCACCCTTTCAGTGTCCATGATGGGTAAGTGTGTATGATAGCAGCACAATACTCCTTCGCTGTCAACTTCTTTCCAGAGACCACCTCTCGCATCCAGCGTTGGCAGCATCACGTCGCTTCTGTGGGCCATTTGCCCAGGTTTGAGCTGCCTTGGGGGGGTTATTACGAGGAACCAGAGAGCTTGCCCGAGAACCCTCCAATGGGATCCCAGTTTGCGCAGGACTTTAATCAGGAGATCGAGCACGCGAACGAATGCGACCAGGAGATCGAACACACGAACGACAACAATCATCCGGCGGCGTCGTTGTACCTCGCCGAGCTCGAAGAAGAAGTGCAGGGCGCTGACAACCGGTGGCTTCTTCCCTCTCCAGAGATACTGACAATCAGCCTCACCCCTTCGCCCACCTACTACTGCTCCCCCACTCCGTCACCGTCTATTAGCTGGAAGGCTGAGCGAGCGCTGTCTAACGAGGCTGCAGCAAGGCCAGACATCGCCGAAGCAACGGCATATCAAGCTGCGCTCGACGAGAGTGTGGACGCAGTGGAGACAGAGCACATGGAATGCGAGGAGTGAATTGTATGTTGTATAAATCATAAATTCAATCGTCATGTTTCTTGGTGTAGTAAATGCTATTATGGGACTCCTAGAGCAAATCTGCAGACAGTGGCTGATTATTTGTCAGCAATGTGCAAACTAGCCAACCATTCAAAGCATAGCTAACGCACGACGCACATTGCTGTCCGCATGGCGAGATGTTCGTCATTAGTCATTTAAGCGTGCTTTTATTCGCTGCCAGCTGAGTGTCCGCTGCTGGCGATTTCGCATGTAAGAGATAAATATTTCTACTCCCAGCCATTTGAATGCATGATTGCTGTCTCCGTGATTAGGCCACCGGCATGTGTAGATTGCAAGATTGGCTAATACTACATCACTTATTCCGCCTGTATGTGGTCGCCACTGGCCACCTTATGCAGTGTGGAAGGCTATGATCAAAGGCACTTTAACTTCTTCCTGCAAATGTGCAGTCGCCACTGGCGGCCACATGCAGCCCGCCAGGTTAACCAAAGCTGTTTGTGCTGTTTTTCTACAAACAAACAACAACGATACACATATGTGGTCGCCACTGGCGGCCATCTAGATCGTAAGATTGGCTAATGCTGCTCGACTAATTTCACCCATAGATGTTTGCCACTGGACACCTTGAACTAATTTGCAAGGTTATGACCAAAGGTATTTCAATGTCTCCCTGCAAACGTGCGGTCGCCACTGGCGTCTGCATATCGCTGGCGAGGTTTGACCACAACTACTCTGCTGCTTCTCCACTAAATATGCAGTCGCCACTGGCGGTCGCTCTTTGCAGCATGCTGACCACACAGCCACTATGCTGTACTTGGCCGCCGCTCTGCACACATGCAGTCGCCACTGGCAGCCACGCACTGTGTTGGAAGTGAGCGTCAAGCGGTAGGAGCCAGCGTCAAGGGCAGTGGTCGGCGCTCGAAACGGTCCCTACCGACCCCTACCAGAGCTCATAACCCTGGACAGATGTGAAAATTGCATCTGAAGATGGCAGATCTTTTCTGTTGGTGAACCTGTTGACATGATGCCTGAATGGTAAGTTTACATAACCTACTACAGTTATTTCGGAAATGATTAAGAAGTCTCACGTGAAATTTCACATGGTTGTCAAATGGAACTTCTCTGTATGATAGTGTTCACAACCAGCACTTAATACAGCGGTCACCTTTTCTGCAATCAGCACCAAATACCACCATTTTTAATGCTCTCCATGGACTTCAACAATGATTCAGAGTTTGACCAGTTGGAAGCGAACAACTCAGAAGATATTGCCATAGAACAAGGCCTCCTTGCATACTTCTGAAAAGCACCAGATACTGCCAAGTGGACGCCACTCAAATAAAGCCTAGCACGAGTCTGGATCACTCATGAGTACTTGTAGGTAGAGCCGTGTAGATAACCGCAGGTATATGGATCCACAGATCCAGATTATATG